TGACGGCGGGCGGGCTGTCCAGGGCGCCGACTTCTTTGTTCGCTGCAGAGCTCCACCCACTTTGTTCTAATAATCCGGCATTCTGTGATGCTCACCTTCCCGACATGATGGGTGTGTAAGCAAATGTGGTGAAGAAAGCTGATGGTGTCGGTTATTATAAGATATAGGATCTGGGGTCTTAAAGGCTTGAAGTTAAACAAGCAGCCATCTATCAGGGAAGCAACAAAGCCCACATGGAAGAAGCACTCCAGCCTGTATCAGCACCAAGTGTCGACAGGATTAGGTATCAGGCATCAGTAGACCCCAAACAAACAATCATATCAATGCAAAGGAGGTGGGTCAGAGTGGAGACCCAAGGCCCATCTGTAGACAATTGGGCATCCCCTCACAGAAGGGTCACAAGGCAGGGATGAGTCAGCCAGGGTGCAGTGCAGTATAGCATCAATGAAACACACAACATTCTTCCAGTTCTTTAATGTCCCCCTCTACCCCACTATCATCCCCCCAGTTCTACCTTACAAATCCAGCTGGACCAGAGCATGCACACTGGTACAGCTAAGAGCTCTCAGAACCCAGGACAGAAACAGCAAGGAGAGTAGCAATACCATGAGAGTAGGGGGACGGTGGGGGGAGAAACAGGAGACAGGGGAAACCGATTGCAATGACCAACATTGCGGTCCCCCTAGGGCGACCAACAACAGAAACGTGGGTGCAGGGAGACAGCGGACTGTGGGATACAGAAAGATGTCTCCCAAGTTGTCTCCCCCAAATATATGCCAAACCCAAGACGCTACTTACTAAGCATGGTAAATGACTGCACATTAGGGGGTCAACGAAAGCAGGTCAGAGGTTGTTCTCCCTAAGGGTTAATCAGCCATCTAGAGCAACCAGACAGTATAGTCTGTCTCAGCCTAAGCAGGGCCCACCCCCTTCTGATAAGGATAGTGATTGTTCCCTTGAAGGGGAGCCTGAAGGCAAGCCCAGGACCACTCAAGAATGACTAAGGTGAGGCTACTATATTGAGCGTAGGGTCCGCCCACTTGCCACATATGTCCCTCTATTCCCTCCCTTTCCTATTGCGTGTACGGCCCTAGGTCACACCCCTCCTATTGCTTGTATTGCCTGTGTTACAACCCCTTCCTATGACCTGTAATCAGGAGGCTTGCATGCCCCCAAAGATGTAGAAGCTTTGTTTAGAAATAAATCACAGCTTTCTCCTGCCCTCTTATCTCCCACCTCTCAGCTCCCACCAAGAGGAGCTGAGGTGAGCATGCTACCATGAAATGTGCCTGGCTCCTTTATTTCACTCTCCTGTCTCTCGTAGTCTCTATCATAACCGTACAGTTGCATCTGCCGAGCCCGTGGTAGTTGTGAGGGGCTGGTTACCCCCACAGCGGACGTTGTAAGACATGAAAATAATAAGAATCAATGATTTATCAAGGGTTCACAAGGAGGAGAGGGTGGGGAGAGAGGGAAAAAAGAAGAGCTGATACCATGGGCTCAAGTAGAAAGAAAATGCTTTGAAAATGATGATGGCAACAAATATACAAATATGCTTGATACAATGGATGGATGGATGGATTGTGATCAGAGCTGTACGAGCCCCCGGTAACTTGATTTATTAATTTTTTAAAAACTGCACTTGCATGCATCTGTGACTGACTGGGCAGGAAGGCATCGGTGACTCGGGGGTTGCTGCAAGAACAGTAATTCAATCTAGAAAGTTCTGAGTCAGCAGGCGCCCAGCTCAGACTCTTGTGAGGGAAAAGGAAGCGATTTGAGCCGAGTGATTACACGGGGCAGGGGTGTATGTGTGTGTTGCAAAGATTTTGTTGCTTTTGAACCAGATTCAGGGTTGGCTTGTGTGTACACATTACAGAGAAGGTTGGGGTTGGAATGAAGAGGTCCGAGTGCCAATCAGGGTTGCCACTGGGGACAAGCTCTAACTCATTCACTGCCACTGAGTCCCTGCGGCTCATAGTGACCCTCTAGGATAGGGTGGAACTGCCCCTGGGGGTTTCTGAGACTGTAAATCTTTATGGGTGTAGAAAGCCTCATCCTTCACCCATGGGGATACTGGGACCTCTTTTTGTCAACCTCCTCTTCACGGTCGCTCTGCCTCAGCCCCTTTGGCTGGGAGCTGCCAGTTCTCCAACAAGAAGGCTCAGAAACTCTGGTGGGGTGGGGTGGGGGGGTGGGGGAGAAGGAACCAGATATGGGGCGGCAGGGGCGCTGGGCTGAGCCAAGAGTTGCTGCCCGCACTTCCCTGACCGGGACAGGAGAACCTGTACTACAGTCCAAACCCAGAGGTGGCAGCACACCCACCCACCCACCACCCAGGCCTGCCCCGGCCATTGATACCCACCCAGCTAGGAGACGGGGCAGGAAAGCCGTGTGGTGAGCGTGGGTGCTGAGGCCAGGC